AAAAAAAAAAAAAAACAAGTTTATAACCATTTGTGGATTCCACTTAAATCCCATCTCTAAGAATGAGACTTTTCCTAGCCAAAATTCACATTTGAAAAACTTGGCGTACAACTTATTCTACCTTAAGATAGTTAAGACTTTTCGGAGGTGTTCTTGGTGTTCTTGATCCGTTTTCAAGTATATTAGAATGTTGTCTTTGAACACGATAACAAACATGTTTAGACATTCCTTGAATACATGGTTTATTAATTTCATGAACACGGCTGGGGCATTGGTGAGGCCAAATTACATCACTACAAACTTGTAGTGGCCATATTTTGTTCAAAGGCTGTTTTCGATACATCTCCTTGCTTAAAATTAATCTGATGATAGCTTTATTAAAGATTTATCTTGGAAAATACTGTCGCCTCTGAGAGCTAGTAGAATAAATCCTCGATGCAAGGGAGTGGGTAGTTGTTCTTTATTGTTCTCTTGTTTTGCTCCCCATAGTTAAAACATAGGCGCATCGACCCGTCTTTCTTTCTCAAAAACAACACCGGCACACACCAACAAGATAAACTAGGTCAAATGAAACCCTTTTATAGTAGGTCTTGTAGTTGTAATTTTAGTTCCTTTAATTCTGTAGGAGCCATGTGGTATAGTGCTTTAGAGATAGGTCCAGTTCCTGGTTTGAGTTCTATTCCGAAGTCTACAGATCGTGAAGGAGAAACTCCTAGTAAATCCTCTGGGAAGACACTTGGAAAATCGTTTACTGTGGATACCGTATCCATTATTTTCTCTTTTCCTTTTACGTCCATTGTGCATGTTAGTATATCCTATCCTCCTTGTTGTACCAAGCGTTTGGCTTTCATCATCGACACTATCTTTGGGGTGACACCCGTACAGGTTCCTTTAAACTTAAAGTTAGGTCTAGTTAGTGGCGAAAAAACCACTTTCTTCTTGTGGCAATCTAAACTTGCATAATTTTCGGCTAACCAAAACATTCCTAATATGACATCAAAATCTGTCATACTCACTACTTTCAGGTGTATGCTTATGATATGTCCAGCTACTATTACGTGTTCGTCTTTTATCCTATTCTCAGTAACTAGATCTACTCCCACTAGGGTACTAACATATAATACATGCAATAAGGGTTCTACCGTGAATCCTGCTTGACTAACAAAATACATGGATATAAACGAATGCATAGAACTAGAATCAAATATCGTTAATGCGTAGTGACTTAGTATAGATAGCGTACCTGTCACCATGGTGTCAAAATGGTTTGCACAGTTAGCTCGCCACTTCCTAAACCTCTAGGTGGTTCTTTTGGACTCTCGGTACGCTTCCCAATATAGTATTTGGTCGTTTGATATTCACGATCACATCTAAGCATATCCTTGAGCCTGCCATACATTTACCTCAGTGTTGTTTTCCGCATTAGTGGCATCGAAGTTTCTCATGTTCCTGGCCCCTCTCTTTATCCCTAGTGTCTGTGTAAATGTTGGGCAGGACATCTATCAGCATATTAAGGCCTTCGTGTTGATGGTCGATAGTCTGTCCCTCTAGGCTCATACGATTGCTTCCTTTCGATAGTGACCGCTGGTTCTTGATGTCTTTCCTCTTGAGACTTTTTCAAGGATTTTTGCCGTTCTTAGTGCCTTCTCTGTTAGTTTGTTTAATCTTGTATTATAGTTTTAATATTTGTGGATAAATAGCAAGGGAAGTTATTAGCCGTTGTTGATGGGAAGTTAGTGTAGGTTATTAGCAGTTATTTAGTTTTTTTTCTTTCTACATAAGTACAGCAAGTTGAAGAAGATAATGAAGTTGGTTTGCTTATTTTTTCCTGAGTGTTGTCTCTTTCTTGTATGAGTGTGTCTGACATTTGGTATCAGAGCGTGGTTACATGCCAAAGATCATGTCGTCGAAGTCTACAACAAAGGAAGGTCTGGTATCACTCCAATACCCGACGTTATCGAGAACCAACTACTCAGCATGGGCTATGAAGATGAAGGTCTATTTGCGTGCTCAAGGGGTGTGGGACGCAATCGAATCAACTGAGTCTCTGGATAGTCTTGATGAAAGGAATGATCAAATGGCCTTAGCAGCTATCTATCAAGCAATCCCTGAGGAGATGTTGTTTTTGTTAGCAGAGAAAGAGACAGCAAAAGAAGCATGGCAGATGTTAAAAACTATTCATGTCGGTGCTGAACGTGTAAAAGAGGCAAAGTTCCAAACTCTGAAGTTTGAGTTTGAAATTATGAATATGAAGGAGTCCGAGACTATTGATGATTGTGTAGCAAGGTTGACAGAAGTTATTAATAAAATACGTACTTTTGGAGACAAGTTTGAAGAGGCAAACTTGGTGAAAAAATTTCTCCACTCAGTACCTCCTAAGTTTCTTCATATCGCATCAGCAATAGAGCAATTTGCCGATTTAAAGGTGATGACCATGGAGGAAGTCATCGGTCGTCTTAAAGCATACGAGGAACGGATCGGTGGCAACAAAGAGAATGTTGAGCATGTCTTATTGACTCAAGGAGAATGGAAAGCAAAAGAACGTAGCGACAATGGAGGCCATAGCCGAGGGCGAGGTTGCAGTGGTCGCTGGAGAGGGAGAGGTCATGGACGTGGAAACGACTCGTTTCATCAAGAGAAGAAGGCTGACAAAAGCAAGGTAAGATGCTACAATTGTCAAGGCCTAGGCCACTATGCCTCAGAATGTCGGAAGGTGAAGTGTTATAATTGTCAAAAAATTGGCCATTATGCATCCGACTGTAGATCGATGAAAAGGGAGGATCATTAGGCATCCGACTGTAGATCGAAGAAAATGGAGAATCAGGCGCACTTAACTGAGACGCAAAGTGATGAGGATGAGCCTGCCTTACTTACAGCACAAGTTTGTGAAGTCCGAACTCTCAGTTCACCAGAGTTGACGGAGATGGCTCTTTATGAAGAGAAGGTTGTCCCGGAAGAAATTGAGAAGAAAAGCAACACTTGGTTCCTAGCTACGGGAGCCAGCAATCATATGACTGGGTGTCGAAGTTGGTTCTTGGAATTGAACGAGTCAGTAACCGGCACGGTGAAGTTCAGAGATGGATCACTTATAGAGATAAAAGGACGTAGAGATGTGATGCTGCAATGTGTAAATGGAGAATACTGTATCCTCTCCGATGTATATTTCATTCCTAAACTTAAAAGTAACATTATAAGTTTAGGACAATTGGATGAACAGGGCTGTAAAGTTGAGATCGAACATGGTTTACTTGTTATTTTCACAAAAGAAAAGGAGTTCTTGGCAAAAGTGAGGCGGTCAAGAAATAGGCTATATACAATTAGCCTAAAAACAACGAAACCAACATGTCTACTTGGTAAGTTGTCTGAAGATTCTTGGTTGTGGCATGCTAGATATGGGCATTTAAATTTTGAGGCTTTAAGAAACCTGTCTATGAAACAAATGGTGAAAGAAATTCCGCGTGTTGAAAGGATCAAACAAGTTTGTGATAGTTGTGTAATCACTAAACAATGAAGAACACCATTCCCACAACAAGCGAATTTTTGAGCCGTTAGTGTTCTACAATTGGTGCATGGCGATTTGTGTGGTCCAATTACTCCAACAACTCAGGGAGGTAATAAATTCTTTTTGATGTTGGTAGATGATTTTAGTAGATATATGTGGATTGAATTGCTTAAAAATAAATCTGATACATTCTTGGTATTCAAACGTGTAAAGAATAAAATTGAAACTGAATCCGGAAAAAAATTGCAAGCGCTTAGAACTGATAGAGGTGAAGAATTTACAAGTATTGAGTTCAAAGAATATTGTGAGAGCAGTGGGATTAAAAGATATCTAACAGCACCCTATACTCCGCAACAAAATGGTGTGGTTGAACGACGAAACCAAACTGTTACTACAATGGTGCGAAGCATGTTGAAGTGCAAAAATTTGCTGATGTATTTCTGGGCAGAAGCGGTGAAGACAGCTGTCTACATCCTTAATAGATCCCCAACGAAGAGTGTAATAGAAGCAACTCCTTATGAGAAGTGGAGAGGAAGAAAGCCTAATGTAGAGCATTTTAGAGTGTTTGGAAGCCTGGCGTATGCAAGAAATACAACACCAAATTTAACCAAATTACAAGACCGAAGTGAGCCAATGATTTTCGTGGGATATGAAACAGGTTCAAAAGCTTATTGCTTGCATGATCCTAAAGCGAAAAGACTTCATATCAGCCGGGACGTCAAATTTCTTGAAGAAGACGAATATAAATTGGATGTGCAACAATTGGAAGAAAATAAGAAGGAAGGGGGTAAATTTGCTGTTCATTATGATTCACAGGTCTATGTGAATGACGAGGACATTTTAGAAGAGCGGGGAGAATCATCAGGGACTCTATTGGGAGATGATTCATCATCAGCAAATGATTTATCACCAAGAGAAAATTCATCACCAAGAGACGATTCATACATCTCATCAAGTCCAAGAAAATTTTGACAGTTAAGAGAAATTTACTCTGATTCTATTGAGTTGGATGAAGAAGCTGGGATGTGTTTTCTTTCACTTGAGGAGCCAAATTCATATATGGAAGCAAGAGATAATGAGAAATGGCAGCAAGCAATGCTAGAAGAGTTGTCTGTTATTGAAAAAAATGGCACGTGGGAGTTTGCAAAACTACCAAATGGACATCAAACAATCGGGTTGAAATGGGTATATAAGTTGAAGAGAAATCCGAATGGGAAGATCGTGAGATATAAAGCCCATTTAGTCGCAAAGGGTTTTGTCTAGAAATATGGAGTGGATTTTGATGAGGTATTTGCACCTATTGCAAGGCTTGAAACCGTGCGAGTCTTGATTGCTATAGCAGCGCAGGAGAGTTGGGAGATTCATCATATGGATGTCAAGTCAGCATTTCTTAATGGTGAGTTGAAGGAAGAGGTTTATGTAGAATTACCAGAAGGATTTGTCGTGGAAGGTTGAGAAGGGAATGTTTTACGACTCAAGAAAGCATTGTATGGCTTACGTCAAGCACCTCGTGCCTGGAATGCAAAACTGGATAATTGCTTAAAGTCTCTTGGATTTCAAAAGTGTCCTTTAGTGCATGCTGTGTATACACGTTGGAAGGAAAATAAAATTCAGATAGTTGGAGTTTATGTTGATGATTTAATTATTGTCGGGTCAAGCAAGGATGATATTTTAACCTTCAAGCAACAAATGAAGAAGTTGTTTGAAATGAGTGACTTAGGATTGCTGTCTTATTATTTGGGAATAGAAGTTAAACAAGATGTTGATGGAATCAGGTTATCTCAGTCGAGTTATGCGGCAAAGCTTTTGGCAAAATTTGGAATGATGGATTGTAATCCTTGTCATGTTCCTATGGAGCCGAAAACAAAACTAAGTAAAGTGAGTAACTGTACATCTGTTGATTCCACTCTTTATAAGAGTATTATCGGAAGTCTTCGTTATTTAGTGAACACATGACCTGACTTATCATATTCCGTTGGAGTTATGAGTCGTTATATGTAAGCTCCAACTATGGTTCATATGGCAGCAGTGAAGCAGATACTTAGGTACGTGAAGGCAAAGCAAGTAGAAAATCGCTTAATCGGATATAGTGATAGTGATCTTGCTGGAGATATAGATGATCGAAAGAGCGCTACGGGGACATTGTTTTTCTTATATGGCAATCCAATTACATGGACTTCAAACATATAGACATGAGGTTCCATTTCATTCGTGAATGTGTGCAAAAAGGAGAGATTGAAGTGGATCATGTAAAAACTAAGGATCAATTGGCTGATATACTTATGAAGCCATTAGGACGATAGAAATTTGTGGAGATTCGAGAAAGAATTGGTTTGAAGAATACAAGATTAAGTGGATGATTTGTTAGTTTGTTTAATCTTGTATTACAGTTTTTAGTATTTGTGGATAAATAGCAAGGGAAGTTATTAGTCATTGTTGCTGAGAAGTTAGTGTAGGTTATTAGCAGTTATTTAGTTTTTTTTCGTTCTACATATGTACAGCAAGTTGAAGAAGATAATGAAGTTGGTTTGCTTATTTTTTCCTGAGTGTTGTCTCTTTCTTGTATGAGTGTGTTTGACATCCTCATACATCTTTGGGTGTATGGCTTCCACCATGTGGCAGACCTACAAGTCTAGGCCCCAAAAAAAAATTTATGTCATCTTTTGTTCAGTATCCACCAATGACGGCGCAAACCTTTTTAATCTCATAAGTTCTCTGTCATATTTGTCCATTGAGTGTCCACCTTAAGTCAGATTGTTGAATTTCTGCTGTTTCTTAAGTCACACCGCTTTGGGATAATACTTCTTTAGGAAAGCCTCCTTAAATTGATCTCACGCCATGATTCCCCCTCTTGGATTAATATTATCTTTATTGTCCATCCACCATACTTACGCGTTCTTTTGCAGCATAAATGACACACAAGGTACCTTCTGGTTGTCCAGACATTCCATTGACATAAATATGATTTCCATGGACGAAATCCACATCTAAACTTCTGTTGGATCTCTCTTAGTACTAGTGAATGGGTGCGAATCATACCGCTTGAAGTCTTGTAGCCAGTTCGCTCCTCTAGTAGATTGCAAGTGTTGGATTGTTGGGTGACCATTATGCCATGCATCATGACCTAAAACGACTCTCGCATCAAACTAGTAGTGGGGTCTATTCCAGTCACTGGTGCTACTAGAGGTGGTGCAGCTTGTGGCGGTACAACTTGTGGCAATGTAGCTGCATCCTTCCTAGTTATTAATCCTTCTCGAGGTGAGCTCTCTTTAGCCCCACCTCTTCCTCTACATCTAATAGGGGGTCCTCCCCTTCCTCTTCTTCCTCTTCCACATCCTCTTGGTGACATGGTTCTAAAAACCAAGATAATTCTTTTTAAGTCTATCATTTACTAACAATACAATATCATAGTACACATAAAAAAGTCATACAACATAGCAAGCATATAATAGCAAAATTAAATCAAGATCATGCTGCAATATATACTATAATTAAAGCTAGTCAATTTTCAAGCTAAACACTTAAAAAATAGAGCCAATCACAATAAATATCATCATAACATTTTCCTTTTTTAATCTTATGCATGGTGTACATAATGGTGACAGAGCATCGATGATTGAACCATGGAACACGTCAAGTCTACAAGATCTACGTCGTAGGCTAATCTAGGGTGTGTGAACTGCCTGGGATCCAGCTCGCACGTGTGGGTTGTGTGTAGAGAAGTACTACACATCCAATGTTATCTAAACTAGTGGACACCCCATGATCGTTTTAACGATAGGTCCTAGATCATTAGTTACACATGTTTGCATTCTTTGACCCCATCAGTGGGGTCACTAACTTAGTATTTCTTAAAATACTCGAGTCATGTGCTATTTCTACTTTAGGTAAAGGCAAGGCACCCCTGTACCGTTGACGAGGACATTGCAATCAGAGACCTTGCCACGTGTATAGGATAGTAATATTTTCTTTTCTTAGACTTTGGCTAGTATAGGATGTTTTTCATTAAAAAAATTACTCGTTTTATTTATTATTGTTCTTATCTAGTTTTAAATACGTTTTCAAACTGGTAAGTCCATGACAGTGTTTTAAGTTGAAGTAATGTTTTAAGATAAAAATTATGTTTCAAGATGATGTTTTAAATGTTTCTTCCACATAAGAGCATAGACTATGATGACGGTAGTGACTTTAGGTTAGTAAAAATCTAGGGCAATTACATGCGATGTGTTGATGATGTGATTTATGTTATGGTGTAATACGTTCGGCGATATAATACATGATGAGACATGCATTATGATAT